AGGCGTACAGAAGGAGTTCCGGCGCCACGTTAGCTACCGCCGTTATCGCTTCGTTCGGGATGCCATCCGGGCCCGGGGCTTTGCCTGCGGGTAGCTTCCTAATCGCAAGATGGAGTTCCGAGCTAGTGAAGCGTGGTGCTTCCCCCCCTCCTCCCGTTGACGGCCCTTTGGTACCTGTGCCGTGGTTCGGAAAGAGGTCTTCTATAATCACCTTCAGTTCCTCGGGGTCCTTTGTTGCCGGGATCTGGTGTCCTCCGAGTCTCTTCATGACTATGCGGTAGGGGAGCCCCCAGGGGTCGGCCTCCACCGACGTCAGTAAGTCCTTCCAGCAGGCCTCTTTGCTGCGCTTGATCTCGATGGTGAGATTCTTTTTGGCCATCTTGTATGTTCTCAGAAGCTCATCTTTTGTAGTCGCGTCGGCCCTGCTCGCCCGTTGTGCCTTCCTCCTTGCGCGGAGGCACACACTTCTGAGATCGGCGATGGTCTGGCTCCACCAGAAAACTGGCCTGCGGCTCGTCCGGCGAACCCTGCGGGGCATGGACGAATCGCAGGAATGCCCGATTGCTGCTATCATAACCGAGACCGGGTCAGCGGGTTTTTGCGTACAGATCCTCACCGCCTCTTCTCTGATGCGCATGCCAAAAGCCGCCTTGTTCATCCTTTTTGCGTTCCAGCCGCGTGGGGCTGCTGGTACTTTGTTGCAATCCCGAGCTCCATGTCTGTTTTTGAAGATGATGTATCTGTGGTCGCTGAGGGTGACCCTGTCGCTAACCATCCACTGGAGGGTACATCTGGCTAGCCGCTCGTTAGCAAAGATGACATCAATGACCGAGGCTGACCCCGTGTGTGGGCGGGACCAGGTCGGCGTCGAACCTCGATTTAGCACCAGGAGACCCAGCCTGGCTGCCATTTCCATGAGGAGTAGTCCTCTGCTGTCAGTGACCGTCGAACCCCACATGACGTTTTTGGCATTGAAGTCGCCCGCTACGTAGATGTCGCCGCTAGCTGACCTGATGCTGGCTTCAAGCTGGTCCAGCCCGCTGGCATACGTCTCGCTGTCCACGTTTGGAGAGAAGTAGCAGCTATAGGCTCTGATATTATCTATCCACCTCCACACGAACCCTTCGCCGCATCCCCCTGGCCTGGTGGGAACCTCGCTGTTCAACACGACAATCGCGGCGCTGGCTGTTTCATTTTCGGACCATTTGTCAGGGCCGCCTGACCGATTGTGCTCCGAGAGCAGCAGGACGTCGGCTCCTTCCTCTCTCGCAGTCTGGAGGACCAGGTCCTGGGCTGCCCGGCACCTGTTTAGATTGAGTTGTAGGAAGGTGCCCATTTCTTAGCTTTGCTGAGTTCATTTATGAAGGAGGGACACATTCGACTGCCCAGCAGATGGTTATGCCCCGCCTTCTGTTCGCTTTCGGCATAGAGGCAGCACCTAGGCGGCGCATTGCACTCTGCTGCTTTGTGCCCATCCTTAGAGCACCTTCTGCAGGCAGAGGATCTGTCCTTGCCGCTCTTACAGTCATGGCTGCGGTGTCCGAATCCTTGACATCTGTAGCATTTTAGGACTACTGGTCTCCGTCTCACTCTTGCATTGATCCAGCCAATCTTTAGCCTTCCCTCCTTTAAGAGGCGTTGCCCTGTTTCCATCGTCGTATGGATGATCGCCAGTTGTGTGCCCCTATAGGCTGGCCGGAGCGTTACCTTCATTTCTGTCATCGTCCCTCCTTCCTTAGTGATTAGAGCGGTTGCAGCTTCGCGCACCTCCAGCTCGCCCGTAGCCTCGTCTATGTCCCGGACTTCGAGTGTAATGTGGGGCTGCAGAGTGCGAACCGTTGCCCCCTCGCCCAGGGTTGACCTCAGGGCATCCTGTAATGCAGGCGTGGCTTTACAGCCCCGTCCCATCTGCAGGAGCAGGTCTCCCTCCCTGGTGCGACGGACCGCGGTGATCGTTGCCCCTATTGCGTCGGGGTTAATACTGGTTTTGACCTTCCTGAGTATGTCAGCATAGGTCCCGGTCTTGTCCCTTACCACGATAGCATCGGGTGGTGCTGGCCTTGGTCGCTTCTTACTCCGGGGTCCCGGGTCCTGATCCCTCCCCCGTGGTACAGTGGTAGCACTCGCGGCCTTGGCTTTCCGTCCGATCACTTCTACCCACTGATTCCCATCAGTCTTAGGTCCCTTCGTTGCGGGGTAGTCCCCGGGCGTCCTAGGATGCATGCACTGGGTGGTGTTGGTGGGAGTCTTCTCCTGTATACCACTCGTGACCCTCCGGATCTTCGGAGTCTCCGCCTCCCTCAGTTTTCTAGTCCCTGACTTCCTAGGTCTTTTGTCCTGCTCTCCTTCGCACGGGGAGCCTGGTTTCCTTTTACCCGGAGCCGCTAGTTTGTTCCCCAGCGGACTTGTTTGTGTATTCCCGTCACGGTTGTTGGGTTGAGCCGTTTGTGTGCGCACGTTTGTCGTAGGCGGGCCAGGTGCTGGTCGCTCCGCTCTGATTTTTCTGGTCAGCAGCATAGCTTCTGCTGACAACTCCTTTAATTGTACGTGGACATTCTTGTTCTTCCTGGCGAACTGGTCCATCTGCTCGATGATGGTGACCAGTCTGCGCATTG